ACCTTCAGCTTGGTATAATCCTTGTAAAATTTATTTTTTTAAATAAATAAATTGAAGAGAACTTTGGCTTGGAAATTCACACATACATATATGCTGCTAAGGGAGAGAAAGGTACAATGAACTGTGATTTTGTAAAATGTCACATTAAAGAATCATTATTTTATAACTTTAGTGGCTTTAATAAAAGCTGCTAAACAATCAACTCAAGATGGATCAAGGATTTAAATCTAAGACCTGAAACTATAAAAATTCTGGAGGATAAGATCAGAAAAACCCTTCTATACATTGGCTTAGGCAAAGGTTTCATGACCAAGAACCTAAAAGCAAATGCAATAAAAACAAAAATAGATAGCTGGGACTTAATTAAACTAAACAGCTTCTGCACAGCAAAAGGAACAGTCAGCAGAGTAAACAGACAACACACAGAGTGGGAGAAAATCTTCACAATCTATACATCTGACAAAGGACTAATATCTAGAATCTACAATGAACTCAAACAAATTAGCAAGAAAAAAACGAACAATTCCATAAAAAAGTGGGCTAAGGACATGAATAGACAATTATCAAAAGAAGACATAGAAATGGCCAACAAACATATGATAAAATGCTCAACATCACTAATTATCAGGAAAATGTAAATCAAAATCACAATGCAATACCACAATGTGATAACACAATCCTACAAGAGTGGCCATAATAAAAAAATAATAGATGTTGGCTTGGATGTGGTGAACAGGGAACGCTTGTACACTGCTGGTGGGAATATAAACTAGTACAGTCATTATGGAAAACAGTGTGGAGATTCCTCAAAGAACTAAAAGTAGAGCTACCATTTGATCCAGCAATCCCACTACTGAGTATCTACCCAGAGGAAAAGAAGTCATTATATGAAAAAGATATTTGCACACGCATGTTTATAGCAGCACAATTTGCAATTGCAAAATTGTGGAACCAACCCAAATTTCATCAGTCAATGAGTGGATAAAGAAACTGTGGTATATTTCCCAGCACTTTGGGAGGCCAAGGCAGGCAGATCACGAGGTCAAGAGATCAAGACCATCCTGACCAACATGGTGAAACCCCATCTCTACTAAAAAATACACACTTGTAGTCACAGCTACTTGGGAGGCTAAGGCAGAAGAATCACTTGAACCAGGAGGCAGAGGTTGCAGTGAGTCGAGATTGTGCCACTGCACTCTAGCCTGGTGTCACAGCAAGACTCCGTCTGATGAAGCAAAACAAAACAAAACAAAACTGTGGTATATATATACAACGGAATACTACTCAGCCATAAAAAGGAATGAATTAATGGCATTTGCAGCAACCTGGATGAGACTGGAGACTATTATTCTAAGTGAAGTAACTCAGGGATGGAAAACCAAACATCATATGTTCTCACTCATAAGTAGGAGCTAAGCTATGAAGATGCAAAGGCATAAGAATGACACAGTGGAATTTGGGGGCTCAGGGAGAAAGGGTGGAAGGAGGATGAGGGATAAAATACTGCAAACTCGATGCAGTGTATACTGCTCGGGTGATTAAGTGTACCAAAATCTCACAAATCACCACTAAAAAACTTACTCATGTAACCAAACACCACCTGTTTCCCAATAATCTATGAAAATAAAAATTTAAAAAAATAATAATAAAAAATAAAAGCTGCTGAAACCACTCAGCCTCCTTCACAGTAAAAAGCTGCTGCGTGTTGAAGCTGGAGAGGATGTGGAGAAATAGGAACACTTTTACACTGTTGATGGGAGTGTAAACTAGTTCAACTATTGTGGAAGACAGTGTGGTGATTCCTCAAGGACCTAGAAATAGAAATTCCATTTGACCCAGCAATCCCATTACTGGGTGTATATCCAAAGGATTATAAATCACTGTATTATAAAGAAACACACACATGTATGTTCATTGAGGCACTGTTTACAATAGCAAAGACTTGGAACCAACCCAAATGCCCATCAATGATAGACTGGACAAGGAAAATGCGGCACATATACATCATGGAATACTCTGCAGCTATAAAAAAACAATGAGTTCATGTCCTTTGTAGGGACATGGATGAATCTAGGAACCATCATTCTCAGCAAACTGACACAAGAACAGAAAATCAAACACCACATGTTCTCACTCATAGGCGGGTGTTGAACAATGAGAACACATGGACACAGGGAGGGGAGCATCACACACTGGGGTCTCTTGAGGGGGAATACGGGAGGGACAGTGGTGGGTAGGGAGGTTGGGGAGGGATAACATGGGGAGAAATGTCAGATATAGGTGACGGGGGGATGAAGGCAGCATACCACATTGCCATGTATGTACCTATGCAACAATCCTGCATGTTCTGCACATGTACCCCAAAACCTAAAGTGCAATTTTATATATATATATATATATATATATATGTAAACATGCTGTGTTTTTCATGCCCATTTGCAAACTTTGTGCAAACTAAATGTTAACAAGAACCTTAAAGAAAGGTTTCACCTCCAAACCACAAACAGTGCTCTGAAAGTGCAAAAACAGCAAAAAGTCAAACACAAACAAGCCTAAGGCTTTGTGTCACCGGAAGAAACCACAGGTCATAGAAAAACATATTTTCCCTTTCATACTCCCATTACATACTGAAGGGCTGGCATGACAGTGAAGGCATCTGGGCTTAATACAGTCACCATGCAGTGTCAGCCGTCTGCCTGTAGCATGAGGAGGACGCTGAACAGGGATGGAGTGTGCCGCACATCACTATGAGTGTTCTCATGCTGACTTTCCTCTCCGCATCAGCACCAGAACATCCTCCTGTTGGCTTCAGTGGTCTCTGTGTTGTCAAGGAAAATGGCCCAGAGCAACTGTCTACTCACCAGCTTTGCCTGCGTCACACTTAATAAGGCTCTTGATGCATAACAGGTTTATTAGTTTCCAAGCAGGTAGTTTTGATTAGTAAAGGAGGAAAACACTCCATTTATATGATCAAGCAGCCCCTCTTAATCTTTTAGGTACTTCAACAGCAAAATAGGTAGGCATTTACCAAAAAAGCTTTCATAGACACACCGATGTTTATATTTTAGCTGCTCAAGAAAAAGAAATGAACCATGGGACATTTCTATAAACAATAGGCCAGGCATGGTGGCTCATGCCTGTAATCCCAGCAGTTTGGAAGACTGAGGCAGGTAGATTGTCTGAGGTCAGGAGTTCTAGACCAGCCTGGCTAACATGGAAACTCAGTCTCTACTAAAAATACAAAAAATAAACTGGGCGTGGTGGTGCACGCCTGTAATCTCAGCTACTTTGGAGGCTGAGGCATAAGAATCACTTGAACTTCGGAGGTGGAAGTTGCAGTGAGCTGAGATCTTACCATTGCACTCCAACCTGGGTGACAATGTGCGACTCCATCTCAAAAATAAATAAATACATAAATAAATATTTTGTCTTAATAACTTATTTGCAGAAGTCAATGTATCATTCAAGGCAATAACGTTTAGCATTATAGAGTTCAAGATCATATGCAAAGACCTGTACTCAAATTCCCCTCAAGAGAAACACAATATGCCAGTGAGCTCAGTGAAGAATTCATGGAAAAAATACATCTCTAGAAAATGCATTTTTAAAAAATTGTATTCAGTAGATTGCACTGTTTATAATAGCAACAAATTGGATGCCAACCAGTAGGAGACTGGTTAAAATATTGGCACGTATTAAATGCTCACTAAATGCTTATTGAATGAATACATGAATGCTAACAGTTTCCATTGCTTCCAACGCTCCCTTCCTTCCCTCCTATTCTCTAGGCTCCTGTTGATTCTGTGAGCCCGAACAGCTCTCCAATAAATCTTGTCTGTGTTTATGATTGCAACCCAAAGAGGCTGATGGACATATAATATTAATGTGGTAAAAAAACTCACTTTATACCAATTCCATTCTACAGCAAACAATATTATATTTCAGTTCCAGTATAATCATAAAGGTATAGCTTTTGAATTGGTTTGGTTGTTTACTGATATACTGAATCAATTTTCAATTGGTTTGAAAATAAAGAGATCTCATCACTTGTCATGTGCATCAGAATGGAGCACTGGTAATTAGGACTTCTTGGAGATCATAGGTTCCTATGGGCAGAGATATCCCAGATAGTCACAACGTGAAAAAAAGCACAGCAGTGATAATTAGGAAGACACACAAGTTGGTGGTGGTAGGTATATTATATTGATTTAGTCGCAAGTAGAATCAGCCAAGTATCAGCCAATGAAGAAGGATACTGAAAAAATACAGGGTCAAGGAAAGCAGGAGGCGCTCTTTACTGGAGAACTTAGTGCAAAATAGGTAGCAGGGAAACCCAAGATTATCCTATTCAAAATATGGGAACTGAAGGAAAGAACTAGTAGGAGAAAGCAGTTCTACGCTGTAACTTTATACTCCGCAAGTACTGCCATCCAAATTACCCGTATTTGGGGCCAGGTGCTGTGACTCACACCTGTAATCTCAGCGCTTTAGGAAGCTGAAGCAGGAGGATATTTGAAGCCAGGAGTTCAAAACCAGCTTGGATAACAAAGTAAGGGCCTGTCTGTACAAAATAAAAAGTTAGCTGGGGCCAGGTACAGTGACTCACGCCTGTAACCCCAGCACTTTGGGGGGCCGAGGCAGGTGGATTACTTGAGGTCAGGAGTTTGAGACCAGCCTGGCCAACATGGTAAAACCCTGTCTCTACTAAAAATACAAAAATCAGCCAGGCATGGTGGTGGGCACCTGTAGTCCCAGCTACTCCGGAGGCTGAGACAGGAGAATCACTTGAAGCTTGAACCAGGGAGGCAGAGGCTGCAATGAGCTGATATTGTGCCACTGCACTCCAGCCTTGGCAAAAGAGCGAGAATCCATCTCCAAAAGAGAAAAAGTTAGCCAGACATGGGGGTGTGCACCTGTAGGCCTAGCTACTTGGCAGGTTGAGGCAGGAGGATGGCTTGAGCCCAGGAGCTGAAGCCTGCAGTGAGCTGTGATCACACCACTGCACTCCAGCCTGGGCAACAGAGTGAAACTCTGTCTCAAAAATAAATAAATAAATAATCTGTATTTAATCTTCAAAGTAACCTCATGAGGAAGGTATTATTACCCCCAATTTGAAAGTGGGAGAACCAGACGTTAAAAGTATGTATTTGTCTCAGCATGAGAGGCTCAGAGAGCAGGGTCTGAAGCAAAGGCTAATGTGCTCTATGTTACCAAGGAGAACAAGCCCAGGGAGCAGGAGTAACAACCTAGGGAAACAAGGGAAGGAGGAGGAGTCCACTGGAAAGTATGGTTTTGGGGCCAGCCATCCTGCATCCTACTGGACAGAGCTCACCCCAGAGGGAGTTCACACCCCACATGCATGGCCTGTGCATGCATAGGCACTAAGAGGGCTATGACTGTGCACCCCTGGCATCACTGTCTACTGAGAACTCTGAGCAGAGTGCACTATAGGCAGGGTGGTGTGAGGTTGCACCTGTGTGAGGTCAGCTGGAGCCCTGAAGAGCTGATCATTGCAAAGTGGTACTCAGGAGCTGCTAGACACCATGCCGTTCAGTGGGGTTTGGGGTTTGCTCCGAGTCTTCTGCTGCATCTGGATAAGGGAAGAAGGGAGAAAGGTAAAGGAGGTGGTGCTTAAGTTAAATTCCAGTCTGTAGACAGTCCGAGAGTTATGCAGTTTAGGAGAATCCCAGGAATATTCTTAGTATGACGTAGGACTTTCCACAGTCTTATAGTTTGTGTTCCACAGGTAGACACTATATAAACTGTTCACATACACGAGCACAATTTAAAACTTTAGGATAAAAGAATATATGAGTTGACTTTCATTCATTTGTGATTTGAACAAATATATTTGCATTTGCCAAAATGTATTAGTCCCCTATTCTACTGTCACAAAACCATGATCTGGGTACAATGAGGCATGAGAAACCTTGGCAGCAATTGCTTTCATGCTGTCCAGAGACAGAAACATTGTTTCTAGGTGGGAGCTCCTGATTCCAAACCTCTCACCTGTAAGTGACCTTGAGTGGATATATACACGGAAAACACCCTTAATTTAATGTGAAAAATGGAATCAGTATAAGGATGGATGAATCACAAATATACACACACACACACACACACACACACACACACAGACACACACACACACACACACACACACACAGATGTGATCCTCTTGCCTCAGCCCCCCAAGTAGCTGGGATTACAGGCGCCTGCCTAAAAATGTAGGCCGGCCTAAAAATATAGACTAAGGTTTGTTTTTTAATTTAATTTCATTAGTGCTACAGACTACTCCATGAATATTGAGTTATTATTAGCAAGCTCTGTAAGTTGACTGGAAAACATCTATTATAAGGCAGGGCAGCCACTAACGGGCAGAAACAGAAGCCATGCAGAAGGATCCATTACATCGTCCTCGAGTGTCACTAGAGAAAAATGACTGTATGGTAATTCATTGTGAAGGCCTGGACTCTACAAGGATTTTATAAATACCAATGTCAGCATACCTATTCATTACATAGAGTGGCTAATATGTATTTTTCATACCACTTTCTAAGAATTAAAATGTATTCATACAGAAAAAATATCTGTCATTTATTTTTGTTGGATTCTAATTTATAATCATGAAAATCAATAATGTAATTTGAATTTACTTGCTCTTCTTACCATCATCTAAATCATTATTAAAGGAAGCCAAGTGACATGCTTCCCTTCATCTCTAAGTGGAAATGCACATTCAATTTATTTTAAAACATTTTGCAAAGCAACATCACTTTCGGAAAACACTTAATAATTGCCTGGCAAATTATTCTCTATGGCCTAGTGCTATTCTTGTATTCAAGAGCTTGATGTAGGAAAACCTCAGGGGCTGAATAAGGAGCACTCTCCTGTTCTAAAGATGAGCCAAAGGGAAAGAAGCCCAGACTCCATAATCTTTCTCCCAAAACTTTGATGTTAAATTAGCTAAGTTTAGCTGACCTGACACTTCTTGTGCTAATGGCTTGGTGTGTTCCCATCTCTCTTTTGTACTTAGGAGCTGAAGGTGCCCTTTTCCATGCAGCATAGACACAGTCACGGAGGCACATGGGAGATAGGGCACCCAGCTGCAGGAGGGTCCAAGGACTCAGTGCTGCCTGCAAAGCCTGTGCTCAGCATGGCTTTTCCTAGTTCAACACAGGGACTGCTTGCCCTTCTTCTGTGTCCCCAGACCTAGAGGAGATATTCAAAATATGTAAGGGCCAGACAGTGAGGGCACTAATGAGTCAGAATAGATGCCCACCAGTAAGCTGAACTGGGACTTCCCAGCTAATGGTCAGCCCTGTTCAGGCCCCTTAACCCCTAATCTGCCTCCTCAGCTCTCCATCCACCCTGGCCCCTTGAGGGTGTTTCTAGACACCAAAGAGTAGCCAAATGTGTCAGGAGACATGGCCTAGGGCAAGACGTGTGGGAGCAGCATTCTGCTCTGGACAAATGACAGGGGAGGAAGAGTCTAGTCTCAAGGACGACAGTAGGAAAGAGAGAGAAGTGCCAAAAAAAGTAGAATAAAAAAAGAGACAGGTCGGGCTTGATGCCTCACAGTCATAATTCCAGCACTTTTAGAGGCCGAGAGGGGCAGAGGTCAGGAGTTCAAGACCAGCCTGACCAACATGGGGAAACCCTGTCTCTACTAAAAATACAAAATTAGCCAGGTGTGGTGGTGCACACGCAGCTACTTGGGAGGCCAAGGTGGGAGAATTACTCGAACCTGGGAGGCGGAGACTCCAGTGAACCAAGATCATACCACTGTACTCCAGCCTGGGCAACAGAGAGAGACTCTGTCTTAAAAAAGAGAAAGAAAGAAAAAGGAGATAGATAGAGAGACATACACTCCACTGGTGGGATACACATGGGTGGGCCAGACCCATCTGCTCTGGTTCCCGCCCAACAGCTTGGAGTGGTCTGACTCATCTGATAGGCAATGGGCTGTCAGAAGGGTCTGCTGTTTTACATGTCTGCTCCTGGGGCATGGTCCTCAGAACAGGCAGGAGTGCTAAACAGTGAGTAAAGCCCCTTAGAGTGCCGAAGGGTATGTTGGTGTGCCTGACAATATCCTCTTCTGGCAGGGAGATTGGTAGTTGCATGTGCCTGGGAGGATTTGGGGAACCCAGAACCTGCGTGTCCAGCTGCGAAATGCCACACTTCTTCCTCCTCTGTGTAGCCTTCTCGGGGTAGACATGTTTCTGTGTCTGCTGCCTTTAGAGAAACTTTATGCCATTTCACTGCTTGTGTTTTGTGAATTGCTTTCTATTGTGCATATACACATTTGCAGATAGATTCCAGAACAAGAGCAGTAATTGACAGTCCACAAAAGCATTCGGCTCCCAGGTTATAAGCTGCATTTTCTATATTATATAATATTTGACTTGGCTCCAACACTTGCCTACCATGTGACCCTGGGCAAGTGTTGGAGCCAAGTCAAAGTCAGGCTATTTGATTCCCAACCCTGCATACTGGACCCCAATTTTGTCCCTCCAGGAAAAGAAGGAAATAAGCACTAGGCCAAAGGCCTCAACCTTGGTTACATGCTGGAGTCACTGTAGAGCTTTGAAGACTACTAACGTCACATAGACTGGGAAAAAATATTCACAGCTCATTTATCTTACAAATGTCTTATAAATGGAATATATAAAGAATCCCCCCCCGCCAAAAAAAAAGAATTCCCACAAATGAACTATTGAAAGAGAAACAACACAGTGTTTACAAATGGGCAAAAGACTTGAATACGTTTCACAAAAGCCAATATAAGAATAGCCAATAAGCAAATAGAGAGGTGTTCAACATCATTTGCAATCAAGACTGAAAACAAAATGACAATGAGATGTCCTTTCACACCCACTAGGAGGGCTAACATCAAAAAGATGATCACACCAATGTCGGCAAAGACGTAGGGTGACTGAAGCTATCACCCGTGGCCGTGGGGAGTGCAAAATAGGACAGCCACATTGAAGAACTAGAGCAAATCTGTATAACAATATTGGTCTTCAACATAGAAATTCCCTCCTATGCACTTAATGGGGAGAGAAATGAATAGGTTCCCAAAAGAGGCTTCTCCAAGAATGCTCATATAAGATTATTCTAGCTATTCGCCGTGACTAAAAAAACCCTTCCACCTCGGTGAAATACAACCAGCATTTTTCATGCCTACTGGTTCCGCCCGTGGTCAGGAACTGAGAAAGGGCACAGCCGGGCAGCTCTTGTCTGCCCCACGATTGCCAGTGTTGGGCATGGATTGTCCCCAGTGGCTCTCCCACTCACATGCTAGCCTTGGGGCTGGGTGGCTGAAGACTGGGCCCAGCCAGGACTTCCATTTGGGGTATCTGCAGTGGCCTCCCAGCATGGCGGGCTCAAGGCCCTAAAGCCAGTGTTCCCAGAGAACTCCCCACTCTGGGAAGCTGCCTGGCTTTTTCTTTGCATGGCCTTTTATATCACAGTCTCCAAAGTATCACAGGGTCTGTAGTGTCTACTCAGGCTGCCATAATAAAATACCACAGATAGGTGGCTTAAACAATAGATATTTGTTTTTTCATCACAGTTTTGGAGGCTGGAAGTCCAAGATCAAGGTGCCAGCAGGGTCAGGTCCTAGCTTGTGAATAGCCACTTTCTTGCTGTGTGCTCACAGATCCTCCCCTCTGCACCTGTGCAGGGAGGGATGGAGAGTGAGCTCTCGTGTCTCCTTCTCTTCTTTCGAGTACACGTCAGGCCTATTGAATTAGGGCCCCACTCTTATGACCTCATTTAATTGTAATTGCCTCCCTAAGAGTCCTGCCTCCAAATACAGCCACACTAGGGATTAGGACTTCAACATGGAAATTTTGAGGGACACAATTCATCTGTAACGATATCATTTCCAGTAGTCTCTATTGGTTGAAGCAATTGTAAACCTGCCTGGCTCCAGTGGGAGGGGCTATAGAAACTATTTCTGATGAGACTGTCAAAGATTGTGGCCCTGCTTCAAAACCTCAGCCTCATTCATAATGGCCCAAAACTGTAAACCATTCAAAAATTCATCACCATCAAAATGGATAAATACATCATGATATATTCATATAACCAAATGCTACTCAGCAATAAAAAGGAACATACAACCACATGGGTCAATCTCAAAAACATTGTTTTGAGCAAAAGAAGCCAGACCCACCAAAGAAACAAGCCATGTGATTTCATTTATATGAAATCAAAGAAGAGATAAAACTCATCTATGGTGATGAAAGTCTGAAAGTGGTTGCCTCTTGGGGTTGGAGTTCATTGCAAGGGGCGTCATAGGCATAACTTTCTGTCGTGATGGGGATGCTCTGTATCTCATTGGGGATGGTGGTTACAGGAGTGTCTAAAACTGTCAAGTGTCTTTGAAGTAAACATCTAATATACGTACATTTCAGTGTCATGTGGATTATTTCTCTATTTACAAAAGTAATAATGATGACGATGCTGGGTCCTACTCCCAGAGATTCTCATTTAGTTAATCTGGGGAAGATCCTGGGCAAGAGGATCTTCAAAAGTTTTCCACAAGATTCCAAGAGAAAGTAAAGCTGAAGACCACCGTGCCAG